GACCCATCAATTTTCGCTAAAAACACAAAGGCTATAGCCTTTGTATATTTTGCCAAAAATGAAAAAATTGAAAATCGCTGGAAATGGTTGGGATTTGTCTGGGAGAGTCGCCTTTGACCTCCTCTGTCGAAATTGCTTGCTTCCTGACTCTTTTACATCCTGTTTCTTCGACTAAAACCGCCTCTGGTTTGTTGCAGGAAAATATCGTCCTGGAGTTACCTGTCCTGGACATCAGCCGTGCAGACCATGGAATCATCAGATTTAAGTTGAGTTGGGGTCACAGTGATAACCGTTGGTCCAGTTATTTTTTTATTTTATTTTTTACCCCCCTGTAAATTCACCACCCACATTGTGGAAGGGTCTAGCGGAGCCGTTCCGCTCAACGCTGTGGAGTCAGCGGACCCCTTGCATGGGGACAATACGTGCAACGCGTGACCTCACTGCGTCAATGAGGGGGCTGGACGTGTCGCCCTGAGCCGTCCAACAAACCTCCCCTCCCCCTGCCCTCCTCTCGGCTGCGGCTGCTGTGGAGGTAGTAGTGGGCTGCCGCCGCTGCTGCGGGGGCTGTGGGGGTAGTAGTAGTGGTAATCCTACTGCTGCCGCCACGGCTCCGGGACTGCTACTCCCGAGACGTCCGTGACGTCACTGCTGTAGTGGTGGCAGTCTGCTACTACCTCCACAGTTACTGCAGCTTCTAGGGCTTCTAGTAAACTAGGTGTATGAAATCAAGTAAAATGTCAGATGTAGGCATTTTTTATTCTTTATTGTTTCAAATCATTTACATAATAAGAGTAAAGTCTTCCTCAAGTAGCCGGCTTGTTTCTGCTGGTGACTTGGAGCGAATCTGCATACCTGAAAAAGAATGATAAAAATCAAAGTTAAATTCAAATTCTTAGAGTTCAACTCAAACATGTTCTGGACCATATGTATCACAGTGACGCCAACTCATTGAATGAACTTTCTATGTTACAGGTGGCCAGCATCCAGTCCAGGCATATCCCTTTGGACAAGAACCAGCATCACTTCCTATTTTACGAAGACTGTACCATACAAATGAAATAAATAGCAAAATTGCTGTAAGCGACACTCTAATGATTTGCCTCTTCCACTTCCCTCAACTAAAATCATCACACAACTACATATTTTAGAATCAAGTAATAAGCCGTATACATGGAGATAGCCTACAGACAGTAAAGATATGACAAGAAACCTCCAAATAGAAACAAATAACATTATAAACTTTTACCTAACATGTCTACCATAATTAGCTCAATGCCAATTAGCATCCGGAACCAGATTTATATTTATCAAAACTGAAGAACACAAGGCCATCATTCGGATTTGCCCCATAAAACTTTTCCATTGTTGATACTATCATAGATGAATTTTTAAAAAAAACACAACATGGTTTACTGTACTTATTATCATCATGTGTAAGCCATTTGGTGTTGTATCCTCTCTCTTTCGGCAAATTTTTCCACTCTAAAAATATTTAAGTTAACCGAAATGTGAGTTAATTTTTTATTTTGTAATGTTATTGACATCACTTCCCGAAAGCTAATAGATTGTCAAATGTTAAATGTTATATAAAACAATATTTTTGAAAAACCGAACCCTGTAAGTCCTAGGCGGAGCAAACAAAACAAATTGGCAATGTTATATAAAAATTTAAACACCAATTTTACAGACAACTAACTTTTATATGTTTGAGAATAACATGAGAAGTATCATTTCATAATGTGTATTTGCAAAACCAACCTTCCCCTAGCCTAGCTTTCTTTTCAACCCTCCCGTCAATCAGCCTTTTAAGTCCTTTGACTTCGGCTACTATATTGATATTTTTGTTAACATTCCATTAATTAAAAGGCCAAACTTACCAGATTCATTCCTCAGACCATGGGGAAGAGGGTCCATTTCTGATGCTGTGTGCTGTGACGACAACTCAGCAAACATCAGGTGACAGCTAACGGCTGGTTAGCTGATGTCAAAGCACAGATGCAACTGTTGGACACTCTCCCTGCAACAGGGGAAAAACAGAATTTTGGTCTAAATACATCACTGACACCAACTTTCCTCTCTGTACTGCTTGCACGCTGAGGTAGCTGCACAACATTAACGTCGCCATGCTTCAAAAGCATTACCAAGGATAAACAATGTCTACTAACGTCAAATGTTCACGTGTGGAATCTTGAACACATAACACATAAAATCTACAGGCATGACTGTAGTACGAATGTAGAGCGGAGACGCTGGTCTCAATTAAAGCAGTGAACTTTTAATCAGGTTCAATGGTATCATTTTGAGCATTCTTATTTTGAGCGATCTCATTCACTTTAGATCCAACATTTTTGCCTAACACCTAATACCAACAGCCTGATAAAAGCGAAACAGAAGATATTTCAGGCATGCATTTAAATTTTCTTTAGAGAAATATCAATAAAAGTTTGGCACATGGTAGTAAATTCAAAATGAGGTTATGTACCAGTATAAGTTTGTTGTAATGAGACTCATCAGGTTTGCGTTCTTCCGCATCAAGGCATAGACAGGGGGGTGTCAATGAAACTATATTGACAAATCTATAATTTACGAAGACGAACTAGAACAAAAACGTTTTTCGAGCTTTTGCCACCCAATATTTACGTGGTCTTACAGGAGCGACGAAAACAAAAATATTTGCGCTGCCCGGGAGTCGAACCCCGGCTCGGCCTCTCTCGGGCCGGCTCCAGAAAGCTCGTCCTTGATTGGTCGAGGCATTGTTGATGTCCGGAAGCAGACGATATTCTTCTTGTTCTTCTAATTCGGAAAATACCTCATAAATAAACAAACACTGAAAAGCGGCGTCTCCTGCTGCTCAATACCAGATAATACCGACACAAATTTATCGTGGGATTTTAATCAGAATTTTGGGGTATGTGGCGCTTTTTGATATTAATCGCAAGGGATAGTGCTTAGTGGTTTCCAGAATATTCAAATGTTCTGTAATGCCGGTTATTGTAGGAGGTTATTGTGCTCCAGTTGCTCTTGTACACACTAAAGTGGTGAGTTATTTTTCGAGGCAGAGTAAATGATGCCCGTTCTGTAAACTATGCTCACTTGTAAGCTTTGTTGAGATGGTGTTGAATGGGTACACTCCTCCATTCCATGCAATATGTTAAATACTGTTGTAGGTCATTTGCAAATGGAATGAACTATCAATTGTATTATCATATATCATATATTTTACTCTATATTATTCTCGTGGAACAGAAAAATGTATAACTTTCTGGTTGGGGTGCAAACTGAGTGGTTCTATTTGCGTAATCCCTCAAACAATCAAACAATTTGCGTTGCAGCTAATTTGCAGCTGTCCACTACTGTCCTAATAATTGTGGAAAAGGTATCTGGGGGCTGTACACAGCCTGCAGTATGTTCAGAGGGATATGTTATGTTCACTAGTACGTGAGTCCAGTCCCAAATTAGTTATTTGTAAGCGCGTGATCATTTAGAGTGTGCGGGGAGAGGCAGTTAAAAGTGTGTTGTATGAGTAAATTATACGCAATTAATACTGTTCAGTAATAAATTAAAGCAAGCATAAAAAATATAGCGCTAAAAGTACTGTTCAATATGATTGCAGGAACTTTACCCGGAAATGTTCGTTCTTGACATGAGCAAAGAAGTCTATGGTGTCATTTTACCAGGTGAGTTGACATGACAGTAACCAACACTCGTCCTATTTTCTCCTGTACAAATTTTATGAGAAGCTTCCTTTAGTGTGCATCAAAGAGTACTTTTTGATGGTTTTTGTGGTGCCTTGGTCATTCCCTGACAATTTCCAAACTCCCCCATCAAAATCCAGGCTGATTTGTTATCATTAAAAATGTCTATAAAAATCTTGACAGTTTGGAAAATTGCTGGAATGGAATAGGTTTGGATAAGGCGGGTAGACTCCCTTTCCGCTTGCTCTGTGTAAATATCATGGTGCGGACCCATTACAGCAGAGTTTTTATACATTGCGCCTTAGGCAGCCTTTCCAGAAGTTCAAAAGACCACCCCTTAAAACTCAAGTTTCTGAGGACAGGGGTGGTTTCTGACGAAACCAAAAGTAGTTTTGTGGTCCCCTGGTTCACCCCTG